ATGTCTTTCCAAACCAAAAATTGCTGGGGCTTTAAAATATGAAAGAAAAAATAACAATAGTGATACTCTGTTGCTAACACACTAACTGGAAAGCACATTGAATACATTTGGAAGTTGGGCTGCATAACCAGCAGTGTAAGTGCCCATGTGTTCCACGCCAGCTCTGCTATTACTTACCACTGTGTCTCCTTTTTTCAGCTGCTGGCTGGGCGCTGGCCTTTTGAACACAGTGAGTTCGGCGTGTTTCTTTGCAAGCTGTTCCCCTTTTTGCAGAAGTCCTCAGTGGGGATCACCGTCCTCAATCTCTGCGCTCTTAGCGTCGACAGGTAACATGATTCTTGCCCTTTGTTCTTGTGTTGAATTTAGAAAAGTATTTTCTCAAAAAGAAGGAAAGTCAAGAGAGTTGGTGCCCAGGCCAGTTGTTAATTAGTTTCAAATGAATTAGAACATGAACGATCTTGCCTTTACTGTTTAGGATTGCCTTACACATTTGCTGATTATTACCCGTCTTTGGCTCAGGCAGTGTGTACCTCGAGCATTTTGCCAATAATATCCATATGGCACCCTTATGGCAACAAAGAAAAAAATGAACATGTTATATGGTATAAAGTTTGTGAAAAGGAGATCTGAGAACATGCAAATCATGCATTTCAAATGGTAAATTTATCATGAGAAACAGGAAGGTGCTATTCAATTCTATTTGTAATGTTTGATTACTTGAGCTGAGTGGTAAGTACACAATAGTTAGGTTCTTCTCCCTGCTTTTTTGAATGCATAAAATGTTCCTTAATTTTAAAAAGAGGGCAACAACAGAAGCATCCCTTTATCCAATTCTGAAAAATACATCTGGTATCTCTGAGTCTTTCCAGAATCTTCATACATGGCTGTCCAGAGTTTTCTAAAGAAGCCCTTCTGAATTCTATAAACTTGTGGATGGTATTTTCTTTACCTTCTAATTTTCATAGCAGGAATTATAAAGAAATTAGGAACTTTATAACACATTCTTTGGTTATAAAATTGTGTTTGATGCTCTTTTATATTTAATATAATCTGGCCGGGCATGATGGCTCACGCCTGTAATCCCAGTACTTCAGGAGGCCAAGGCAGGAGGATCACTTGAGCCTAGGAGTTCAAGACCAGCCTGAGCAATATAGTGAGACCCCATCTCTACAAAAAAAATTTAAAAATTAGCCAGGCATGATGATGTGTCCTTGTAGTCCCAGCTACTTGAAAGGCTGAGGCAGGAGGATTGTGAGGCAGGAGGATCGCTGAAGTGAGGCTGTGGTGAGGTGTGATTGTGCCACTGCACTCCAGCCTGCGTAACAGAGCAAGACCCTGTCTCTAAAAACACACAAAATAAAACCTTTAAAAAAATCTTACACAATTCATGCATAATGTCCTGTTTAAGTGGCTTACATAGAATTTAGAAGAGGCTTCCATTAACTTACACCCTGACAATCTGCTTATCAGAGAACCTGGGTCCCATCATTGTAGAAATAAAAGGCTTACTGTCTTAAAGAAATTCACGTGTTTACAGTTATTCAGTTCTTTTTCATTTATAATTAATTCTTGGAACCAAAATTGTTATTGCTAAAACATAAAAATGCTCATTCAATTAGTATTTAAAAGTTATAATGACATCCTTATAAATTTATGACTCTAATAACTATGAAACACAAAATAAACAAAATGGTGTTATTAAAAATAAATTTATTACTGAAATTAAAACACAAAAATAATTCCTTTAGTAGTTTAGAACTCAGTAGTACTGTTGACAAAAATGTTCCCACTCAATGGTAAACACAGAGATTAGAAATAATTTCATCATCTGTTAGTAGGACTCTTTAGTGATTTGTAGGAAAACCTAAGTTTCCATGTGGGTTACTTCTGCATCATACCAAATGCTAAATGCTGCTGCATAAAAACACATGCCATAGGTGGCCACTATATAATTTCCACTTGGCTAAATAGTAGATTATGATACTGTGGGCCATTTCCCTAAAAAGTTGCATAAGCACTTATGACCTGGCTTTGATTCACTAATAAATTCTCACGCTGATGTTCCCACTCCCAGCATCCCAACATCATTTCTCCTTTCATCCAAAGTGTTACATTATCTAAAAACTAAAGGCTTTAAATTGTATCTATTATATTGTTGATACAAGTAAAATTTTTCCTGTATTTTTCAAGCTTTATATTTAATGGTGTAACCATGTATACTCACTAAAATATCTGATTAAAATTTTTAATTATAACTTTAAAATCCATGTAGAGAAAAGAAATGAGAAAATAATCATGATGTTTTGAAAACAGAACAATGTGTCCCACACACATATTTTTCCTATATTATATTTTTAAATGTTACAAAGCTGCAATATTTAAACAATATGGGCGTTGAACACACTGACAAATCAATGGGAAAACTAGAATCAGGTGTTGTATATACAAAAATGTAATACAGGATAAAATCACTGAATATAATGGGGAAAGGAAAGATTCATCAATAAATAGTGCTGTTTAGCCATCCGGGAGGAAAGGCATGTTAAAGTCTTAACTTGTGCTATGTATCAGTAATAGTATTTATAATAATTACCATTTATTGAGTATTAGTAAATAAAGCCCTGTTAAAAATACTTTACAGAAATAAGTTTATTTAACTGTGATGGGTACTGTAATTATCCCCATTATACAATAGGGAAGATGTTGAAAGAGGTTAATCAAGTTCACATGGCTGCTAAGTGTCGGAGCCAGTAATCAAATGTAGGTAGTCTGCATTTTTTAACCATTATACTCCAGCATGTAAAAGCTCAAACCATAAAACAGTAGAAGAAAATAAACTAATATCTTTTTGATCTCTGGAAAAGCAAGACCTTCCGAACTTAAAAAGAATGGTAGAAATTCTGAATAAAATTAAAAACGTATCTCAAGAGATAACATTAAAAACATTCAGATCAAACATTCATAAAGTTAAAAACAAATAACTAAAGTAATAAGCTGGGGAAAATATTTGTCACTCCCACCACAGGCCTCGGGGGCAGGGCTGATTCCTCCTCCTACTTTTGTTCTGCCCCCTCTTCCTTCCTTGTGAGAATCTCAGAGGATCCTCCTGCAGAGCTTCAGTCACGCCCAGTGTAAATCCCGCCAGCGCATGGGGGTGGGTAGAGCAGTTAGGTCATCGATTCCTATTTCTGCTGTAGGGTCACCTCACCCATACCACCTCCTCTCCCATCTCATGCATGAAGAAAAATGAACTCCTAGAAAGATGCCACTGCACTCTAGTCTGGGCAACAGAGCAAGACCTTAGCTCAAAAAAAATTAAAAAGAAAGAAAGATAAATGATCTAAATGTTCCATCATAACAATCAGCTGTGGAATAAAAGAAAAGGGAAGCAATCCCAAGAAAAAAAAAAACAAAAGAAAAAAAGGAAGGAAAGGAAAGAAGAAAGGAAAGGAAGGAAGGAAGAGAGGGAAGGAGGGAGGGAAGAAGGAGAGATAAAGAGAAAGAGAAAGAAAAAAGAAAAGGAAAAAAAGAATGTCGAGAATCTATTTCATCAAGATTTGGTCTGAGTTTTAAACCAAGGAGATGAACCGTTTTAAAATTCCACTCTCCCAAACATCAACCTTAATCCAGAAGGTTTTTCCTTGGTAATAAACTCATCATTCTCTGTTCCTTAGATCCATTCTTTGCTATTTTTACGTTTCATTTGGTATTGACTCTAAGCTTTGGGACCTGTATATAGGGAATCTATTTGACTCTTTTATTTCAAAAGCTTTCACCCTACAGAATGAATCATTCACACTTAATTGCTACAGATAAGATTCGATTTGCTTTAAGTCTTCGTTTGTTGCATTACAGTCTATGGAAAAATGAAATAAAATCCCTTTATTAAATAAAACAAGGACTAAAAAGAGGGAAATTGGAACTTGTTACAAAGCAATTTGCAGTTTGTGAATCCCCACATTTATTTTATGAGCTGAATCAAATTATGGCCCAGGAAGAAGAGTATCCATGTTTTTTAACATGATATTTTAAAAATATAATTATCATCTCTCATTTCAGAGTTTTGTTTTGAAGGAAAATAATGAAAGAAACTATACATCCAAGTTCTATAGAATTTCTTTATTACTTCATTAATTAATGAGTACAGAGTGCTATAAGGAAAAAGAAAATATCTAGATTTCTCACTATCAACTTTTAATCTAAATAAGGTAAACAAGACAGAGAAAGCTCATGGTTTGTCCCAAAATAGATGAGCTTTCATTGTTAATTTCAACTACGGGCTTGTCTCAGTTCAACCGTTTTACTAATTCCTCCACAAATCTAACTCTTAATTATTTATTTTTAACTTCACATGCTTAGTCACTTAAGAAAAAGATAAAGTACAAACTGAAGAAATGTAGGAACAAATTTGGACCCCTATCCAGCTTTCTCAGTGAATTTTTTTTTTTATGCCAAGGCATTTTACTTTTAAAATGACGAACTTTTCCCAACAAAAATGAGTAACCAGCCGTTACCAACTATTAAAATAGCTATTCTTATATGCCATAAGTGACAAGTTTTATAGGTTACTTTGAGTTTGTTTGGTGGGGGGAAGAGAGAACAAGGCTGGGGGAGGGGGCTCAGTGCCCTTCTTTGTAAGTGTTTAAAGTGGACGATGATGATGACAGGTCAGACCAGTAAAAACGTCTGGGTACAGATCCAACTTGTAGTTGAAAGTTGCATGGCGAAGAAGCCCATAAAAAGATAAAACCCTTTTAACAACTATTCCAGAGTGATGTGTAATCAGATACTTGGAAAAGTTGCAAAGATCCATTAATAAGACAGCTTTGTTTTATATGCCTTAAACTCAAATGCTGATGTCAATTCTTCAACCCATCATTTCAAATAATTGCTCTGTGATATCTGTGATATTCTCAAAGGTTTATCCTAATTCAAGAAATAGGAAGGTGGCAGGGCGCGGTGGCTCACACCTGTAATCCTAGCTCTCTGGGAGGCCGAGGCGGGCGGATTGTTTGAGCTCAGGAGTTCGAAACCAGCCTGAGCAAGAGCAAGACCCCATCTCTACTAAAATTAGAAAGAAATAAATCGGACAGCTAAAAATATATAGAAAAAATTAGCCGGGCATGGTGGCGCATGCCTGTAGTCCCAGCTACTTGGGAGGCTGAGGCAGGAGGATCGCTCGAGCCCAGGAGTTTGAAGTTGCTGTGAGCTAGGCTGACGCCACAGCACTCTAGCCCGGGCAACACAGTGAGACTCTGTCTCAAAAAAAAAGAAATAGGAAGGTGCTTTTCTGAAAAACCTCATTTTTATTAGACTTGGACTTGGT